ACAAATTACTATTGATTAGTTGATACCTAACTAGTTTTGTTGTAGAAGTCAACACTATTTAAATATATCGCAAGATCTAGCTATTATTTTTAATCTAATGAGTATATTAGTTATTCGATTAGCAAGAAAAAAATGTTTGATATAATTATATTATAACGTATTACCGGTTCACATTAAATTAAGATGATACAATAAATGATTTACAGTTATACAATGTATACGTCTGGATTTTTATGCAAAAATTATTTTTGAATATGTAAATATTAATTAGGCACTCAAAAATTCAAAAATACACAAAACATTTTTTTATAGTTTGTTAAAAAAACTTATAGTCAACTTATATTTTCCAATGTGTTTTGAAGTTTCTAAATATTAAGTAACCTGTGATATTTTATAACATGACACGTATTGATACTACAACAATTAATACATAATAATAAGCTTCCATCTGTTCTAAAAATACCGGATGTTATATTAAGTAATAATATGCTTTATTTGCCTTATGAATTATTTTTAAAATTTGTTACTAAAAAAAGAAAACCGTACATACACTACACCGACAAATAATTGTCAGTAACTAATATAAAAATGCTTTGTTTAATCGTATGTCCAAAAATCAGATTATTATCTAATATCTATATCTATGAGACAGCGCTTCTTTATTATTTGACGTTACATGTCTGTCACCGGAATTCCTATAGTAAAATATTTTATTTTATTCGGTGGAATTAAATTTGTCAGAAATATCGGCATGTATGAATGTATCGAACTTTGATTAAAATGTAATGTATTTTATTTAGTATTTATAAACTATGCACATTTTATGAAATGATTCAGAAATAAGCACTTAGTTATTCATTTTGATACAAATATGCAAAAATATGCAAAAAAAAAAATTACTGCAGAATCTACATATTGTAAAACGTTAAGATATTTAAGATTTATTATTAGTTAAATGTAGAAGAGTATGCATTTGCATAAGAATTCGGGCCCTAGTTATAAATAATGACATGATAAAAAGTTGAACAATTATTTACCTGTAAGTAAATTATGTTTATTAATTAATAAAAGCTTTAATTGTTATTTTGAAATTTGAAACTGATACTACATTCGATATTTATCTTTACGTATACGATATACGGTATTACGGTATATGACAGGGATAAAAATCAAGTTTATATTTTTGTGGCATTTTTACAGTGAAAACTTATAACATAATTTAATTTAAATTACTTACTGTTATAATTAATAATTGCTCAAGGTAATCAAGCCGCCCTGTTTATAAAATTGATCTATAGATACCTAGTATCAAACTATCACTATTTTAATGTAATTAATAAGTTTAAATATTACAATTCGCAACACATAATTATGTAACATAAGTCATAGACTAAATGATAAATATGATCATAAATTCTTGAAGTACAACAATTTAGTAAGTTGACTGGTCAAAATTTCAATTATTCGCCTTTTACATTATACTTATACTTTTCAATTTCGTGCCAAAAATTGTTCGGAATTAATTAATTAATATATTTCAGGTAATTGTCTATGTCATTAATGTTCATAATAATTTTGGTATCAAATTTATGACATTCGACCTGAGTTTATTAAACCATTGAATGAATACATAATGTTCAAGGTATTTATAGCAAGATCAAAAACATTTATAGAGAAATCAACTTGCCATAAAAAAACTTCAAATATGCCCATTAAATATAAAGGAAGGATATTTTTCGATTATATATAATATATTTTTCAAGAAACAAAACGGTATAAATATATATAAATTACCGAATTATTTAAAAATATTTTTAACAATAAAACTACTTTACTTTAAAAGAAAATTTGACATAATTAAATTATTAAATTTCAATTTTTTGATGAAGATACAAACATAGTGAATTAAAGTATTATATTATTTATTAATTTACTTGTATATATTTTTTTTTATTTTTAATTAATAGTTACTATTAATCTGTTATACAATTTATAATTTATATGATACATTTATTATTGTGTCCTATAATTATGTTAAGGTGTTTTTATTATTTCATTTTAAAATTACAATTTTGAAATGGATAAAGTTAATCTATAAATATTTGTATTTATTAATAGTTGGTTTGAGCTAAAAAAAAAAAAAAAAATATAATAATAATATAGATTTTTTAAAAACATAATTATAGAATTAAATAGGAGATTGAATTATTGGCTAAATTCTGCCGGACAATGTCATACAATTATCATGTGTGTGACAATGCAAATAAAATATTATTAGGTAATAAAAATAGTTCACGTTCTGAGTCAAAGTTATATAACTGTATTTGATGTATTTTTTTTAATATGTTGCAAATATTACATAAATAAAACAAGTTTTATACGGAATTGGTTTTGATTTTAAAGTAAAAACAATTAATATTTAATAGTGTTTAAAATTTATAAAATATTTATCAACAACTTTAAAGATATTCACAAATGTATACATGTTACCTAAAGTTTCATACAAAGAATTGACTATTTGTGGGTAGTACAGCGCCATTAAAGTTCGTATTTTGAATGATACATTTTAAAACTACCAAAATTTAATTTTTTCTGAATTGTATGCATAAAAATACTGAAAAATTATATAAAGATTTAATAAAACTAGAGATTAGTTATATATAATAATATACTAATACCAAGTGCCAACATCAGATAATAATATGATTCTACATGTAGTTACTTAAACAGTCAAACGGATGTATTTATTGAGCAAGACTATGTAATCATTGTTAAATAAATTATATACGTTTTTTTTTTTCAAGGAATAATAATTATATTTAGGCTTGAATTGCTACTTCTTATGTCTTAATATACATTTTTAGTTGAGTTTCATTTGAATGTTATGTTTTAGAAATGTATATGTACTGAATGATTTATTAATTATTCATAAATATTACAATAGTGTATATTATTAAATTACATTAAATAAAAAAATATTTTTTTGATTTTAAGTTGTTTAATGTTTTTGTTATTATAATTATTAAAATAAGATTTTTTGTTAAGAGCTTTGGTTAATAGGCTATTATCTGTAATGATAACAGTAACAAATTTGTATAGGTTTACATAAAGAATATTGACGAATTGCTAAAAAAATTACTCAAAAAACTTTTAATAATGTATTTAAAAATAGAGTCATGTTCTTCTTTAATTTGTATTAAAATATTGTTCAATTCATTGAAAATTATTATTAAATATTGTGTTTTAATAGTTATGTTGACATTTTTATTATAGTTTGTATCTATGCTTTTTACAAAAATTATAATTGCATATTTAAAAACTATTAATTTAGTAACTAAAAAATAAGTTTTAAAATTAACTATAGATCACTATTATAGGTAACTTTTTCAGAAAATAACGTGTTTAAGTTCACAATCTTTAAAACTTTTGATTCAAATTGTATAGTTAAAAAAAAAAATCAATTCAAATCAGTTCAAATATTTTTTTTTTGTCCGTAAATTTACTGAAAAATAGAAACTGAATGATTTTCTGATAATTATTTTTGGTTTGTGTACGTAGTTCATGTAATTAAATTCTCAAAATATTAATTGGAGTGTGAATATGTGCTCGTGTTACCATCTAGGTCAAGATCTGCGATGAGTATTGGTCATAATATTGCTATACATTTTTAATTTTTAAAATATTAAAAATCTGATACGGTGCGGTGCTTAAATGGTTTTTCGATAAAATTATTATTTAATTCTAATTCAATAAAAAATTTTACTTCGATGTGTTCCTATTAATTTGTTAATGGCATTGTTGGCATTGTACACACTTGTTTGATTGCAAAAAACCAACGTAATAAAGAAAAATTGTGTGAATCCTAAATCAAAATAAGAAAAATCTTCTATTCAGAAATCGTATATACGAAACAATTTCAGTTCCTAATGTTAGTACTATAGCAATATATTAATTGTTCAATATAATATTCGAAATAAATTATATTTAAAAAAAAAACTCTTTCTGTCAACGAGTAGTAATAATAAATAATTATTTATATGTACAATATAGTAGTACTTGATAAAAGTATAAGTTTGTTACATCAAACATAATTTATTTTGTAAAATTAAATAATAGAATATTAGAATTGATCAATATAAAATATACTTCACTACAATGTTTTTCGTTGAAATATTATACTCACTTTCCGAAAAAAATATTAAGGTTTTGGAAATATTTTTTTGTTTAATTTAAAATTATTTGAAAGCAAAATTTTTAACAACATATGTATTAATATTTAAAAAAATAAGAATAGTATAATATATTTTATATTTCATATTTTAAAGAAAAATATATATATTGAAAATTTTCGATGTATAAAACTTTAATTTCGAATGAATATTAGACAGTTAGTTATAACTTATAATATTTTAAGTATTGAAGAGTGAAGGGTATGGCATTGGTCACAGTGGTACTTTGCAAGATATTAGTCCACTTCTTCGCTTATCTATATTTTGAAATATTTATAAATAGTATCTAGTTAACTATTTTGTACAAAATTAAATTTTTACATAAAATTAAATTTTCCAAAAAAATTTTCTATTTTAGTATATGCAATTAAAAATGTATGCCATCATTCAAAACAGTAAAAATGTAAAAACAGTATTAAGTGATAATGATAAAAATAGACTTCAAAGTATGTAAAAATAAAATATTTCTAAGAACGTCAATACTAAAAAAAAAAAAAAAACGTTTAATTGCTTTTTTAAGAACCGTCTCGTATTAAAATATATTTATCTTCTAATAATAAAATCATCAAATTAAAATTAGGTACTATCATTATTAATTATTCGTACAACTTAATATTGATTTGAAACTTAACATATTTATATTATATAAATTTAATGTTATAAAATAATTAAGAATGTGTTTAAAATAAATAATACCATTGAGTATGGTTATAAATAGTAAATATATAATACATATAATATATAGAAATATAGAAAAAAAATTGTATTTACTTGTATTGGATCACTGCACGCTTGCAAAACTGAAACACATATTATGTGTGTATACACAAACAAACTCACGGTATTATACTTTATCTAAAACTATACATTTTATTACTAGAAATGAATTCAAATTTACTTTGGTTTATAACGGAACTTCAAAAATGTTGTTTTTGAATACAAGGTACGGGTCTTCGACGCATACTATTCGCGAATGTTACGCACAATATGCAACGTGTCTCATGACATTGAGTTGTCTTCCACCACAATGTAGCTATTCCTTATGGAAACATTTTAGTAATCGGATTGTGGCACGTTATTAATTTGTATATGATTTAATTATATTATTATTTGCTATCTATTCTAGATAGCTAACGCTTTTCACTATACACTTGTTTCGAGTAGTTTACATAAACTATCGATCCAAATAATTAGATAGGTTGATTTATCATAATATATAATGTTTAAATGGGGTGTGTACACTTAATTATGGTGGAGTTTATTATTACATGATAGATTTTTATCCTACTTTAAAAATGCATTACCTGTATCCTCTATTGAAATATTTAGATGTAAAATTGAACAAAGTATTTATTACGCTCAGACAACTTTTACAAATTATAAAATTTTAATAGAATAATGCTATTAATTACTATAATTACACCAAATTATATCTCCAATATCTTAAAAACATATTTTTCCAAGTACAAAAAACTAAATAATTAAACAGTTGATCGTTTAAAATTTAATTTAGTTACATAAAAATGTTCAAAAAAGTCATTTTGTTAACGATTTACAGGAAAAAAATGTAATTTTAATTTGAACAAAAGAAGTTAATATCACCAGGATATTCCTTAAACAGGATAAGTATACTTAAATATTTAAAAAAAACTATAACTTAAATAAATTCAGCTATGAAATCTAAAATAAGGTTTGATGTGTTTACTGAATTATAGTTTAGTATTATATTTATATAGTGAAGTGGTAGAGCACTTCTTTACAAAATTAACGTAAATAAGTTTAATTATCATGAAAAAAATAAATTGTTTGTTTAATAAAAATGTTTAATTATTCTAACATTTATTAAATCCTTTGTTAGTTAATAGCTTTAAAATTGTTATTTCTAGGTCTACAAATATGTTCAATAGTTTTTGTTGTGTGATTAATTAATTTGTTTATATGACCCAACAAATAATATTTAATGAATATATACATACATTTTTTGATACAATATATGATATTGTATAATTTATTTATATTAAATATATGCAAAAAATAATGGTCAGTCTTTGGAACATTTGTTTTAATTTCGCAATTGTGTTTTACATTCATGTTAATTATAAACTTATTATACAAATATTTTGGAAAATTACGTAATTTTATAAAATAGTTTATTACAAAACGTAGATTTTACATTATTAAATTCAGATTAAAAATATGCACATTTTATAACACCTTAAATGAAATAAAACGAATTCATTGATAAATATTTTGGAGTAAAAACATTTTCTTAAACATTTTACCAATAACTACATCGTGTTAAATACTTAACGCTTTTATATTTTTCTATTCACAATATTTGCCTATATATCATTAAAAATAATCATTATTCTATGAGAAATATGTTTGATCTATCGTAAATCGTAATAGAAAACGCCATAATAAATAAGATAAAAATATATCAACGATTTTTGATATCGCAATAGAACCTAGTATTAATTCGATTATTCTAGTAATGGGTAATTTAACAATATTTGATACTCGAATTGCCAAAAAAAAAAAAAAAAATGTATAAAAGTCAACACAATACTCATGTCTCAAAAAAAATAATATTGAACACTATATTTCATTTTTTTATTCTAATAAATTATTTAATTATAATAATTGATAGTTCAGCAGATCGGTGCCCGGTCATATGATAATTATTTTTTTTTTAAAGTTATTAAAATGGGTATATCACTCACATAATCATAATACATACAATTTTATTAGTTTTTAATTAATTTACTATACCAGTAGCAGTGGAAATATTTATTTTCAAATAATAGTCGAAGGTTAGGTTAGGTATTTAAGTTTCATTGTGGTCTAAAAAATCTACAAAAAATATTAACACGATCATTAAAATGTCAAAACCAAATTATATAATTATTTATTATTTTTGAGGCTTTAAATATAAAATTTATTAAGCTAAAATTTTTTTTTTTATATGTTTTTGAAATTAAAACTTTTACACAATTCGTTAAAAACACAAAAATTTACCAGCTATAAGTATTTTTTATTTTTTTTAAAATAGATTTTAGGTTTTAACAGCAACGGTCATTAGCCTGTAGACGGGTTTTACTGCGGGAGAAGTATATTGTTTTGGAACACGTGTATAATATATGTCGCAAAGATTTTTTGCTAAAAACCCGACGATTGGTCATCCATTCAGCAGCTAGTGATTTTGGCCGATGCTTGACCTCAGACCTCAGAACACGTTAGTGACTAAGGCCAACCATCGTACCACGTCTGGCTACTTAGAGTAGGTTTTAGTAAGCATCCATCTTCATATTTATAATCAAAAAATAATTTTTTAGAATAAGTATTCTGTTTATTTAAAATTAACACATTTTTTCTATTTTTGTTCTAACTCTTTAAAACTATAATTAGCTTTAGGTGTACAGGTTTTAAATGGGTTTAAATTATTCACATTGAATAACAAATTATTATTATTACTTGAAATCATTGTTACTTTATTATATGAGCAGTTTAATTACAATTCAATGTAATGCAATAAATAAATATGCCATTTATCTAAGATATTTGCCACACACGTTAATATCTATTAACATTTTTTTTTTATTTCGACCTTCAAAAATGCCTATAGCTTAAGGGAAGATCCAAATAAAGTAAATATAATATTGTTTTGCCGATTATTGTTTGAAATAAAGTATTATGATTACAAATATATTGAAATTCATTATTAATTTATCACCTTGAAAATATTGCATTCACATTGTGATGAGATGGTGAGTCAAGTTAGATGTACACCTATAGAAATTAAAAATAATTTTTATACTTGAAACCTTGAGCTTCATAATATAATTTAAAAAGACAATTAATCAAGAATAAGATCGTGTGAATTAACAGTTATATATTATATGCATAGTGAAAATCGTATTAATATTTTATTTTTATAATACATTATTGTAAATTAAATTTAGGTATCGCAGTAAATTATGTATAAAACAATATGGGGTAAATTAAATTATCAATGTAAACAATAAATATCTTATTCATAGATTTTACTATTTTTATGAAACGGAGAAAAATTATAAATAAATCCGGTGTTCATGTTTGTATAAAAATGACAGCTGAATTATTAGAATTATTAGAATCAATGACCAGATGATGCATCATATTAAAATTACTTTTGTAATTAATTTGCTGTTTATATTTACATGATATAAGTGTGTATTGATGTTCATTTTTGTAGATATGAAAATTTTATATTTACAATCTTCTAAAAAATGTTAAACAACATTGAAAAGTTTAGTTTAGGTGTTACCAGGGCCGGCCCAATGTGATATTAAAATAGATAGTCGCCTAGGGCGGTACTAGTTTATGGACGACAAATTTCAAGTGAACTAAATTGATTTTATTATTATATTATCTAGTATACTGTAAACAAAAATATATGTTAATTTTTCAACAAATACAAAAAACAAAATATATTAAAAAGTATCATAATAATTAGAGATTTTTTTTGCAACTTCTGATTATTGATTTTGTCAGTAATGTCTAAAAATCACCAAATGGTGAGATAAATTGTGGTGTTTTTATTTTGCTATGTTTGCATATTTTAGAAAAAATGAATATTATTATTCCATAGTTCGACTATAAAAACATGAAAAATGCATATTTTATGGTATATTTCGTTACTAGATATTTTTTTGTGTGATAGTATGCATTGACATTGTTTAAAAATACCTATATAAGAACACATTAAGGTTTAACAGAAAATAGTCCAGTTTTAAAAAATTAAATAACCATGTAATTTTTTCGTGTAATATATTTGAAATAGCGTGAATAGTTAAGAATAATATTTTATTAATTTTAAAACGTATATATTTTTTTTTAAGTATAGATTTTATAGTTTTTAACGTTTATAATATTAATTGCATTTTTTCAATCATCCAAATGCATATTTTACAAATTTTTATTGCATATAAATTCTAGCCTTAATCATAATATTTAATTTACTGCGGATGCTTCGTAATCATAAAATGCAGCCCCTACGCAAATAGAATGGCAATAACGATAAATGGGATGGGTTATAAACGTATGTTTATTTATTTTTATATAACCCCCTCCTCTCCAAAAAATTAACTTTTGAATAGGGCTGCATAAATTAAAATTGCCTAAGGCAACAAAAAACTTAAGGACGATCATGGGTAATATAACTATTAAAATACACCGAAATAACGATATTATTTTAGTGAAATAATAACAACAACCTAAAATTTTTACTTTTTCAATATTCTAGCTAGGTTAGAAAGTATTAGAAGATATATTAATTTTAAATTTTAAGTATGGTAATTAATGCATTTATTTTACAATTATATGCCTTTTTGTGATATAATATAAAGTTGAAAAAATAATTTGATCTAAACTTTGAAGGAATTTTTTTAAACAATTAGGAAAAAAAAATAAGAAAAGTCTTACATTTTTGTGAAAAAATAGTTTTCAACAGAACAAAAAAACAAATAATCGTAAATGCATACTTGTAATTTTCACCTAATATTTATAATTAAATTTTTTATAGTTTATAAGATCCATTTAACTTTTTTTAAGCGTTAAGAACTTGCCATTTTTGATTTTTTTTTAGTTTCATTTCTATTTAATGTAAATTTAAAAAAAATTATTTTTACCATCTAAAAATAAATTAGAGATATATGAAAAAAAAATTATAAGCATTTTAAATTAAAATTTTGACAAAATTAATCAAAAACTTTAACATTTTTGAATTATTTTATTGTTAAAAATGTATTCTTCTACAATATATCCATCGTGAAAATTCAATAAATTATTCACTATGTACTTAGTTTCATATTGTTTCTTTAAATCTAACAAATAATCTAAATTTCTTAAAAAATTTTCGAGTAACTAATTAGTATTCATATCAAACATAAATTATACTGACAATCATTATAT